TATTACCAGCACATTGTACTATTCTACTTGTGATTTCAAGGATATATATGCACAAATGAGGACCAATGAACTTTCGAGAGAGATTCTTTTAAGTTGAAGCATTTTTTATACATATTCGGGTATCATACTCTTGTCTCCATTTTAATGAACATATGCATTTATTTGATATCAAAATATTCCCTTTCAAGAAAAGTTTTATTGTTGTTGCTGATGAGATATTTGAATTGAGTGTTGTTGGTTAGTTGCATTGAGTTATACTAAAGCCATCGTATCGCCAAATTTAGGAAGGACGGTCCTTTAAAATTAACAAAACAAAATAATTGATAATAATATTGACCTTAATTGCCCATTCGTGAAAGTGAGCCTCCAAGCTGAACAATCATGGATACATCCCTGAGCAAAAAGGTACTGGTTGATGATTGTCAACCATAAGAATCACACATAGATGAAAATCAAATTATGGAGGATTAAAAAAATCAAAGCACATCACTCTCTTCATGCACAAAACAAACTTCCTCATATGTATTTGCATTTAACAGTGCATCATTTACTAGTGCCCATTGCACATGACAGGTGAACTTGTTCTTGTGCCAGTTTCCATATCCAAGAAAAAGAGTATTACTATCAACATTCAAATAACCACAATATTCATTTCTTCTTAAGTCGGTAATACCTTATCTATTATGCAAACTGTTAATCACACTCATCAAGAAACCAGCAAATACTATTTTGGCCAACATATAGAAATGCTAAACCAAGAACTTGCATCACGTGGGAGTTAGAATGATACAAAAAACTAGATGGCATATTGATAGCAACAATTTTGTAACAAACAATGTACTATTCTTAGCTCCAGTGGAAATTTCGAAAAAGGCAACTTTACTTGGAATTTGGTGTAACAAATATTATTAAATCTTAGTCAAAGGTAATGCTAAAGAATACTGGATTTTGTGTGCTCGCAACATAAGTTTAATAGCATGCTATTCCTGCAAAAAATATTTTCCACTAAGTGATCCATAGTGATAGTGAATAAGCTGCAAGCCCACATAGCATAAGCTGCAAGCCCACATAGCATATAAAATACAAATTTTGGAAGGAAAAAAAATTTACTTGGAATTTGGTGAATATAACACACACTAATAAAATCTAAGTCAGTCAAAAGTATTAATGTGAAGTACACTGTGGTGTGTTCCTCGCAATAAAAGTTTAATAGCATGTTATTCTTACCAAGAATATTTCCATGAAGTGAACCATAGCGTATAAAGTGCAAGCCTCCCGCATTTGTTGATATGTTTCCACCAATTTGACAGCTTCCTTTCGCTCCCAAATCAAGGGGCATTACGAACCTAGATAATATGCTAACATGTTACAATCTATGTAAATCAAACTATAAATGATTAGGACTACAATCATTATCTCAAATCTGCAATCATACAATGAAACTTACTAATATACAACTTGATGATTCACCGGTCAAAGAAAATCTGAATAAATTGGCTGTGAAGTGCCTAAGTCTAAAAAACACACTTATAGGTTTTTAAGCATTTAACAACCTCAGGAATGTAGCAATCAACACAATAACAAATTTCATATACATCTAAGCACTTCAAATACCATATAATGGGTATGTCATCAAATTTGGTGCTTTGTGCAACATGTGAATAAAGACGGATGCAATTCATATTGTAAACCCTTTCATCTTCCTCTTCATCTAGAGCTCTTCACAATCTGAGTAAGGGTTGTGCCCCTATATGCTAACTGCTCTTATATGTTTTTTGAAAGCTCCTTCAATGAACCATGTAAAAACTTGTAAGCTAGCATCAAATTGACAGGTCAGTGTAAAAAATGTGGCCATTTCTTCTATGCATTCAAGTGATTTCTTTGTAGCACATCCATTTTTATATAATGGCCTCATTTCATAATAAAGGAAGTGATGATGATATCATTTTACATAATGTGATCTACCTGGTATTACAGCAGTAGCAGGTCACAAAAAAAAGTCCTTACCCTTCATTTGCTAAAAATGTATTTAAGTTATCCAATATGCATCCAGCTTCACAGATTAGTATACCACTGACCTGAAACAATAAGAAAAAAAGGTGAGAGAATATGAGAGAGACCACATGTTTATTAACAGGAAGAACAAATACATGAAACTTTAAAAAAGGTTAGGAATTATTTCAAGTAAATCTTATAAGACTCAACATCGGTGGGATTACCAAAGAAGTCTAAAAAATCTCATCAAGACCATTTATGCACAAGACAATCTTCTTGCTCATCACTTCATTATTCCCATCTTCATTTTCATGCAATATGGCTACCAGTAATTTCTCTTTAGTCAGCTCTAGTATGATGCTTGAATCAAACTTCAGGCATAAGAAACAAATAAGATCGATTCATTTGGTTTATTCTAAAATCTGAAGTAAGCAACGCCCAGCCCCCCCCCGCCCCTACCACAAAAAAAAAAATGTACTCTGTAAAGATCGGCCGCTCTCTATCCATTTTGTCTAAGGAAACTCTTAGACACTTGAGATACAACTCTTAGAAGTTCACCCAGTGATGGAAATTTCATCCAAAAAATCCAAAAAAAGGCAAAGAATAACTGCAGAAGAATAGATGTAGGAGAAAGTGTAGATGATTATCCCTATTTAAGCGTCGATCTTGAACATGTGAACAATTAAAATAGCAGCAATTTATATTTTGGGTGCCCTACTATAGACATTACAATTCAAACTATTATAAATATTAAAATTAGGGGGTCCATGAAATAAAATATTCTGTAAATCATAAATGCAACAAGCAAGGTTTTAAATATCGGATATCGTGGAAATATCGGATGGCCAAAATTCATATCGGATTGCGGATATCGGGGAAATATCGGGGATATATGGTAAATATCGGAATGCCATAATGAATGTTTGCATACATAGTATAATGCATTAAAATGTAATCTCAACATATGTAATAAAATTTAAGCATACAAAATATGAATAATATATGTTTAGGATCACTAATCAACCTTCTAAAACAAACAAAAGTGCAAAGCAACGTTGCAACATTCAATCCGTTTTTTTTAGGGCAAAATGTCATTTGATATAATGGGAAAATCTTGATATCTCGCCCAAAAATTCCAAACACGGTATATTATTTTGTTACAAGCTATATAAAAAGATATATTGGTCCACATATCGGCTAATATATCGGTCATATCGGAGATTTATCACTCAAAATAGCCAAAAAGCGGTAAAGGATATTTAAAGACCATATCGGTTGCGGCAAGCCCTGTAAAAGGATATATCGGGGGATATATCGGGCCATGTCGGGGATATTTAAAACAATGGCAACAAGCATGAGAAGAAGTATCTAAACCAATCATTATGCAAACAAGATTTCTACCTTGTCAAGGGAAATTATCTTGTCCATTGAACCAACATTGATGATTACCTGGAAAAGAGAATGTCAATTTATCATTATTTCCTCAAAAAAAGGCATCTCATTTCATCATAAAACTATTGTGTGTCAACGTCCACATGTTTCCTCATATGCATGAATCCTTATACGACAGAAAGAGGGAAATGCATTTAGGGAAGAAAGGAAAACAAAAGCTATTAACCATTAGTAATGTTTGCTTCTAAGCATCTGTTCAAGGGAATGACGTGTGCAGGTTTGCACACAACAGAGTGAGAAAACTCTCTCCACAACATATTTGTTTGCTATATTAGAAAACAAATACACATTGATCAGTGCTATGGTTAAGTATTTAAGTGTAAAATCTACAGCTCCATAATGATCTACAATAAGAGTGACGTTAGGTATTAACCATACTCAGATTAGGGCTTTAGAACTTTAAATACAATTTATGGTAAAAGTAAAGATTCTTCATTGTCTCTTCCATGGGATCTATCTCCCTCTTCCAAAGCCTCATTTTGGTATTCAGCAAGTGTGTTGCATAACCACAATAAAATCATCATAGTTAGTAGTACAAGACAGACATTAGCATTACCTCATCATAGACAGGCACACTGCCTCCTACAAGACCAGTGTTACCTCCTTGTGGGACAACAGCCAGGCGCCTGGAGTTACAGTACTGGAGAATTTTAGACACCTGAAGATCAAGAGGATGAATAAGCGAATCTATATGTACTGCAGCTAGCTTTTCTTATCCTTGAAGAGGTTCCCATGAATGAAACTTAGAAGAAGGTTTTGCATTAACCTTTCTGTTAGAAATGGGGGAACATCTAAACTGAAAAATATCAGTAAGATAGCTCAAAATTCATTTAGCTCCCAATTTATTTAGTTCACTTCATGAAAAAGGTTTCTAATAAAACATCATGCAGTATACTAACTACTTAAAATCAGTTCAACACTAGAAATAATGAAATAATGAAATAATGAGTAAGTTAAGAGAGAGAAAGAGAGAGTGCGTGAGTGTATGTGTGTGCATCTGATAAAATGAATAAGACTGTAGGTTCCTAAAAAATTTATTCTACTAATTTCTTTAGTCATAATACTTGCTTCGATCTTTTCTAATTATTATCATACCGGCTAACGTAATATAAATTTCACAAAGTTGCTTCAGGACCTAGTTTTCCAGTTCCAAGCATTAATAACATCAAGAAGCAAGCTCATAGCGAAGTGCAATGATGATGCGACCAGGGAGAACAAACTTCAGTTCTGTTAAGATGAGTAATGAAGAGAATAAAAACCTCTTCTGTGCTTTTTGGTAAGAGCAAAAGCTGGCTGGAACCTTTATATTTCCCCATCCAATCCACATTTGCAGCTAGCAACCTATCCTCTTCTTGAATAACAGTTTTGTCGCCCAATATTTCTTTGAAATAAGAGACATCATCAGAATTTAACGTTGAAAATAAAGGACTCCTTTGTATACTTGTGGAAGCAGAACTAAATGACCTCCGCGGGATTTTGTGACTTGTGTGGAGACCCACATTTACGGAAGCTTGAACAGCTCCCATGTGGTTGCTCGTTGTATAGTAAAATGCCAAGTGATTATTCTCCCAATAAGGTCGCTTGATAGAGTCATAAGGAGTTCTTTGATGTCCATAAAATAAGCCTGCAAAATTGCATATCAAATATGAACCATAGAAATATGATTCAGTTCCATAATGCTGCTCAGGTTGATTATGAGATTGCAAATTGTTCTTTTTGGAAACATTTGAGAAATGGACATTTCTGTCATGAAGCCTTGTCCATGTCAGATACATGATAGACATTACACTTCTTTCTGGCTTTTAAATTATGTTAGTCTATGTCTCTTCTTTGGTCAATAAAACACTTTTTCTAAAATTCAGCCAGAAAATATTCATCATAGAAAATATAGGTACAGTAAACCTAAAGCTAGTTGTGAGATTAACTGAATACTGGACCACAAGTCAAGTGCTGGTTATAAAAAACCATAGTCACCTCTCATTATATTCCTCGAACAACCCAGCATTGAAACGTATATGCATTTTGGATGCCTTCATTCTTTGTCAATGCTTAGGCTGTTAGATGCATCATAACCCGCATTTCTGAAGGTGGAGAGGCAATGAGGCATGAACATTTTAAAATAGTACTTAATTTCCAAGTGCATGTTCGTGGCTAATAGGTTAATACCCGGTCCATCTAAATGCAAACACTTGACGAAAGTTTGCCCCCTCCATTTCTTCTTAATCTCAAAATTTTCAACATGTTCTAATGTTTACTTACATAATATTTGCTCATGTATATAAGATCAAGACAAAACTGAGTTATCTACTTCTAGACAAACTGACTCTAGCACAGCCATTTCAATTTTAAAGTCATGTACCATCGTATCAGAAAATTGTATTACACATTGTATATCAAATGCACACTTCTTACCAGGTAATCACTACATATGATAGCATTTCAGAGTCTATATCATACTTGTTAGATTCTTTGGCTTATAGTAATCGAGCATCACATCATCACCGTCATGAGCATCCAAGCTTTTCTCAGAAAATTGGTATTGTTTCTGGAGCTCAACTACGAGAAGGCTCCGTGAAGGAATTTGTGAAATTTATTATTGGCTACCAATCTCCATACAAAAACAAGCTAGTAGCAGAATATAATTTTAAGAAAAATAAACAAAATGTAACCTAACTACTAAAAACCCATTTCGAGTAATCACCTAATCAAGCCAACCGCAAACACTAATGATCGTCTTCTCGATGGAATTGACCGATACCCATTTGATCTTTTTAGCCCAGAAACCTCTATCCATCTAAAAAAAAGTTAATTTTTGAAAATTAAGTTACCTGAGGCTGATGATCGGCATCTGAGAAGGAGCTGCGAAGTTCTCCTCAACCTCTGCATTCTTTCCCCCCTTATTTCTCTCTTCCCTTTCTGGAAATTAGAGAGTGGAGGTGGTGGTGGTGATGACGATCTTGAGTTTGAGACTTCGGAGAGTTTACGCCTCTCTCGTTTGCGCAGTCCACTTAATTTCACTGAGGACAAATTTTGAAAACAATCCCCTTTTAAACTTATTTATAAAAAACGATTCTTAACTTATTTGTTAAAACCGACCTAGTTTCAACCATCTAGCTGAAATTGAGTCGGTTTTGAGAATTTTTGTTATATAAAAACTTCAGAGACATGAAGTCCCGTGAATTTTTGTTATGTAAAAAACTTCACGAGACTTCAAGTCTCATGAAGTTTGATATTTTTTTCCGGACAAATTTTCAAAACCAACCTCTTTCCATATTTAATCCCAAAAAAAGACCACTTTCAATAATATTTTCAAAAATCGACCTGGTTTCAGTCTTGGCGTTGAAACCAGATCGGTTTTAAAAAAAACTTTCAAAACTTCACGGGAGTTCAACTCCCGTGAAGTTTCATAGTTAAAAAAACTTTTTTGAACTATGAAACTTCAAGAGTTGAACTCCCGTGAAGTTTCGACTCATTTTCACAAAAATCAATATGGTTTCAGCTCCAAGGCTGAAAACAGATCAGTTTTTGCAAATAACTTCAAAATGGGTCTTTTCTAGGATTAAATGTGGAAAGAGATTGGTTTTGAAAATTTGTCTTTTTTTCCCCAAAACTTAGCTGAAACTAGATCAATTTGGACAAATAAATTAAGAATAAGACGTTTTTTATAAATAAATTTCGAAAAGGGTTTGTTTTCAAAATTTGTCCTTTTCACTGAGTTGGACTTCGATTGAGATCGATAGGAATAACTTTCGATTCAGCCGGCTTCATTTGGGTCCACTTGGCAAGGTCCCCATTTCAATTCACGCATTGACCAGGTATCATTTGTATATCTTTACATTTACAACCTCTCAATGGAGTTCCTAAAGCTACCCCTATTATCCGTGTATGTCTTTTTTTTTATATAATTCTATTAAATATTGCTAGCATGGCGATAACGTGGCTTTATAATGTCACTACCATCTCAGCAAAAACTAATGAAATGCAAAGTTCAATACAATCGAAAATTAGTGAAATTAAGTTTATAGTGAACTTGGACTTTTACCAAAATTTTGCAGACATGTCAAAATCACATCATTGCCACATCAACAAAATTTAATGAAAATTTGTAAAATGATAAAGGCTAAGGTTGAATGTAACGTTATGTATTCTCGCTGATAAATTCTAAATATTAAGGATCCAAATGATATTTGGTTGATATATCAGGGACCTTCACTGAGATTTTGCCTAAAAGATTTGAGGGTTTTCTTTTTAGAAATTTTTAAAATAAACCAAATTTGACATTTAATTAGCAGAATAGACCAGAAAGATATTTGATTAGCACAATAGACCTGTTGTCAAAAACTAAAACAATTAGTATAAATCTGAAAATAAAAGAGTTAGAACACCAGGCCTGAACGGGTGCAGTCGTGATTCACTGCCCTAGAAGATAGAGGACCCGCCTATCGCCCTGACGCAGTTAATCCTCTCCCCTTAGAGATAAAAGCCCCCGGAAACGGCCGGCCTCTGTACTCGGGCACGAGTAGCAGAGCTTCTGCTCAGACGAAGATGGTTGCCCGAAATATAAGTAAATAGTAGTTGAGAAAATTTTTAGAGGAAAAACGTAGCTCTCGGAATTTTGAGGGAAAGAGAGGATTGGATGTTTCTTCTTCTCGCTTCTTCTTGTTGCTGTGCTCCTTCCGAATGAGCTTCAACTCTTTATATAGCCCTTGTTGTTCTTAACCGTCGATGGTAGTCCGCAGACGTTACACAGAAATCCTGCGTCCGTTATATGTTTCTATAACTCCCGTAACCGTTACAAACTTGTGTAAAACGTGCAAAAAATAAAACTTGAGAGGCAAAAAATCGCGTGCGGGTGCGGCGCATCGTGGCGTGCGTAGAACAACAACCCAAACAATACAAGGCCCAAAACACTAACTCAAAGCCCATTGAGATGTGAACCATTATAAACTTTTTGAACTTCTTCTCATTTTCTGATGTGGGACTATTCACAAAGGCAAATTTACTTTTTCATGAACCAAAAGCCCAACAAGACCAACTTCAAACCATCGTAGCTGGAAGTTGATCTAATTTGCTAGTTAAATATTCTTTTGGTCTACTTTTGCTAAGTAAATGTTAAAGTTGGTCTGTTTTAAATATTAAAAAGACTTATATATGCACCCTTTTGTTTTACTAATTATATTTCACCTCACCTCATCATATCGATTTTTTTGTATTGCGCGTATGTGTGTGTATATATATATATCGATTTTTTTGTATTGCGTGTATATATATATAGAGAGAGAGAGAGAAAACGGGAGGTGAGCTGGCAGCGTAGGAAATTTCCTACGCTGCAAGTGTATGACATGTGAGCCCTATATATATATATATATATATATATATATATATATATATATATACCCTTTTATTTTACTAACTATATTTCACCTCACCCAGTCATATCAATGTTTTGTATTGCGGGCGTACGATTTTGTTTATTTTATGATTCTTTTTGTTAATTTGTAGTTAAGTTTAATTTCCCCCAAACCATTTAAATTGCCATTAGTTCTCTGAATCCTTATATCTTGCTAATGTTACTCTTTATCAATTGGATTATCTTGAGATAATTATAAAAACTGATGGGCCTAATAATAATTTCAATGATTGGAGGGGGACTAGTTTTGAGATAACTTCCTAAGAATTGGGGACTAATAGCAATTTCAATGATGTGAGGACTAATTCAAAATATTAACAATTTTAAAAGGTACTCCATAAAAACTCGAGATTCAAGTGTCGTGAATCTAGTACGACAATTGTAAAAACTCAGGATTTAAATGCCTTGAAGCTAGAATGAAATTTGTAAGAACTAGTTTTTACCTAGATGATGTGTGGGATTAAGGGCTAAATTACCAAATTGGTATTTTTATTTGACCATATTTTCCAGTTTGGTATATTTAAAAAATCCGACGACAACAAGGTATTTATTCTCTGTCTTTTAGTCAATAAGGCTCATCCTGTTTGTCGGTGGCCAAAAATAAAACGTGAGTGGCTCGCGTGGCAAAATAAGTGGTGACATGGATGCTGAGTCGGTAGGATCGTAAAGAGAATGCAGGAATTTAACCAACACAAAAACCCTAATTTGCTAAATCCACCCTATTTGTCAGACCCCCCCTAAAGAGAAGGTGGGAATTTAACTAACAAGGAAACCCTAAATTGCCCCCCCCCCCCAAGACTCAAACTTTCTGGGCAGGAGAGAGTTCACCCTCAAATCGGTAGTTGCAGATAATCTCTCTGAGGGAGAGACTGTGGATGTGAGCGTGGTGGGTCTTCTTCATTGCTGCAGTCTTCAAGACATGGAGGCAAAGGTAAGACATTGTATTTTTTGCTACAGTTGTTAACTCGTGGAGAGCACATGTGACTTTGTTTTACAATCTTCATTATCTTTAGTTGATTATAAAGGTAAATTATGGATATAATTGTGTTGAAATCATAAGATCCGTGTTTACTTGCAACCAATTTAGGGTTTTAAGTGAAATCCGTTTTTTTTTAAATTGTTGATATTTTTTTGAAATTCATATGTAATTGAGGCCATTATGGGTTCAAGTATGTTGAAATCATCGTCTCAATGTTCATTTACACCAATTCAGAGATCTATGTGTAACCTAGTTTGGGGGTTTTTCAAATCTGTTGAGATGTTGGATAAATTATATTGTTTCTAATTAAGTTATGTTTAATTTTATGCAGATGAGAGTATTATTACTGATTAAATTCCGACATTGTGGCTATTTTAATTTTGAGAATTGTGATTATATCAATGATAGATATGATGTTTAAGTTCAAAGATGAGGATGCAATGTCTATTGAATTTATCAGAGAAAAAGTAAGAGAATTTGGCTACACAAATATGTTCACGTTGTGGTATAATGTTCCAAGCAGGGGTTTGAATGATGGTGGTCTGATGCCTCTACATATAGATTATGATTTGGATAAGATGTTACAATATGCTGAAAGGGTAATGGAGATATATTCAAATCATGGTGTTGACAGGGCTCAGTTAGTGGCAGATGTTAATGACGTGGAAACACAACTCAACCAAGGTAATGCAACCAATAGTCAAAAAGAACAAGCCATAGAACATGTCAATGCACAAGATGAAATAGCTCCAATGCAAGAGAATCAACTAATACAATAGAATCAACCAGTACAAGAGCAACCAATGCAAGAGAATCAACCAGTGCAAGAGAACGAACCCAAAAAGAGAAAGAAGTTGACACCAATAAGGGAAAAAAGTAAGGATGAAGGTCAAGTGGAGGATTCTATTAAATCTCAGATAAATCTCAATCAAGTAGAAGCTACTGACATGAATACCAACACCCCTATACACCAAGATTTATCATCTAGCGATGATGATGATTCAGTGGAAGATGAGACATATAAGATGGACCCTACCAAGGCATTTGATAATGAAGCAGATGAGGATGATGCTGAGGCATATGTTGATGAGTTTAGTGGCAAAAGCTGAGAAAGGAAAAGTAAAACAGAAGCTTGTGAATGAGGGGAATAGCAGTATAGCTCAAAATCCTAATTCTGTTGGATATGGTAGTGATGATTCAATGGAGGGGGTTGATAGTGAGGCTGAAGGGGATTTGATCAATGATGATGAGAAGTTGCATGAAATTAGAAGGGTGAATAAGGATATGGTAAGTGCTGTAATTGCTAGAATAGCATTCGATGCTTGTACTAGATTAGCAGATGATTATGAGGGACCTTCTGCTAGAGTGGCAGGAGTTGTAAATGCAGTACACAATGCACGAGCTGTTGACATGAATGCACAGCCACTTAACACAGAGGAAGTTCAAGGTAATGCAACTTCAAATACAGTAGAGGAAGAGGGTGGTGATAAAAACACAAGGGGCACTGTAGGCTATAGATCTAATTGACCATCTTTTTGGTTGAATTATGAGGGAGGGTATGAGTCTGAGCAAAGAGACAGTGAGGATGAAGGTCCTTTAGATGAAAGTGACAATGAAGAATCTAAGCACAAGCCTAAGCCCAAGCCCAATCTCAAGTTAAGAAAAATAAGGATGAGGAAGAAGATTAAGTATTCTTTCTTTTAATGAGGACGTGGATATGAGTTTGGTCTACTTTGCACCTCAATTAAAGTTTACATCAAGGAAAGTATTGAAACAAGATATTCTTAACTACTCTATTCAAAAACATTATGACTTGCTTTATATAAAAATTGATAAAAAGAGAATAAATATTGGATGTTCATTGTGCTATTGGGAAATAAATGGTGGGCCTAATTATGAAGATGAACAAGCTTGGCAAATTAAAAGCATTCAGCCATTACATACTTGCACTAGAACCTTTAAGAATGGGTTAATTACAGGAAATTAGGTGTCAAATGAGTTTCTTGATAAAACTTTAAGAAATCCCAAGATGAAACCAAAGGATATCTGTCAAGAAATAACTGACAATTATAAGATCAATATCAATCTTAGAAAATGTCAGAGGGCAAAGGATAAGATATTGAATGCTATATAGGGATTGATGGCAAGGCTATACGGGTTGCTTAAACCCTATGTGAATGAAATCTGTAGATCAAATAAGAGGAGTACATGTGTGCTTAAAGTGTTGGATGGAGAATCAAGCCCATGCACATTTCAAAGAATATATGTGTGCTTTTCTGAATTGAAGGAGGGATTTGTCAAGTGTTGTAGACCTATTTTTGGTCTTGATGGATGCTTTCTAAAGAATGCTTGTGGAGGTCAATTATTGTATGTTGTTGGTAAAGATGGTAACAACCAAATGTGGCCAGTAGCATGGGTCATGGTTCTGGGAGAGATTAAGTCATCATGGGAGTGGTTTCTGAGGCTGTTGACCAATGATTTGATGATGGGAGATGGTGAAGGTTGGACTGTTATTTTAGATCAATAAAAGGTATGTATGTTATTGTAATTTATTTTTATTGTTGTATTATATGTGTTATTGTTCTGATATATTGTTAATTTTGTAGGGACTAGTTCCAGCTATTCATGAAATCTGGTCCAAAATAGAGCATAGGCAATGTGCTAGGCATATTTACTCTAACTGAAGAAAATTCAAGGTGGTAGGCAACTTCAATGGCAATTTTGGAAGCGTGTTAAAGCCACAACAAAGACAGATTTCTTAGTTGAAGCATTGAACTTGAGTAAATTGTCTGAAAAAGCATTGGATGACTTTATGTCAAGGGATCCCAATACATTTTGTAAGTCTCACTTTAAACTCCATAGTCAATGTGGCAGTGTAGATAACAATATGACCGAGATATTCAACTCATTCATACTTCTTGCAAGATATAAACCTATATTATCTATGTTAGAGGATATTAGATTGGCTTTAATGGATAGAATGCAAGAAAAATAAAACTGGTTAACAAGTTTGTGGGTGAGATTTCTCTTAGAATAATACAACAATAAAAATGGGGAGGCCTAAGATTGCAAGAAGAAGGGACCCCAATGAAGAATCAAGGACAACATATAATGCTTCAAGACAGGAAATATTAAAGAAGTGTGAGCAATGTGGGTCAACTGACCATACAAGGAGGAAATGTCCAAATCCACCCACACCTGCTCAAATAACGAGCACTGAAAATATACAAGTAAGTTTATCTTTTGGAGGATATGTGAATTTATTTTTACATTATCATATCATATGTGTATACTTTTTAGTGTTTGTGCACTTCTCAGACATCACAAGTGGCAACTGAAGGTACAAGCCAAACCAGAAAGAGAGGAATACCAAAGGGGAGCAAGAATAGGATTGGTCAATCAGTAGAGGAAATGGCAAGACAAAATATTCTGACGCCAACATCAGTGTTATTAAAGAGAAGAGGTAGAGGTAGAAACAATAGTACACAAGGGATTTTAGGTACAATTTATTTCCAATGTTTAATCGCATGCACTAGCCATACATTATATGCATTAGTGTAGTTTAAATTTGTGATTGTTTGCTAAATCCTAGGTGAGACCCAGTCACAAGTTTCAACTTTGGGGAGGGGAGGAGGCAGAGACAAAGGCAGAGGGAGGACTACTCACAACACCATGCCTGAATGATGTGGACTATGGCAAGGTGAACATGGTGAGGCAATATACCGAGCAACAAGTCATATAGAGAACACGTTTATCCAAGGACCATCAACTCAAGCATCAGTCAATTTTCAGCCAAATTTTAAGTAAGTGGATGTAATTTCTCTATGTTGATTGGTTGGTTGGTTGTTGGATATGTTTAGACATTATCTACATTTTGTTTAGTTTAAATGACAGTTTATGTGTGCTACATGATGTTTTATGCACAAATTTTTTTTATGTATGGTATAAATTGATGATGCAAATAGATTTGCATGTTTTTGGTTTCTGGGTTTGCACAGGTTTGAAGTTGAGTCCAGTTTTTAGTTTATGGGTTTGGAAGTGATGTTGTTGTTGTGGGTTTGCACAAGTTTGAAGTCACACAGAGAATCATGTTGTTTTGTACCTATAGCAGAGGGGATCATGTTGTTGTGTCAAAGGAACACGCTTTAAAAGCTACATCACAAATAATGCATCTGCAACAAAATGAAAACAATTTACAACATTTCATTTGAAGAGTACATCATACACCGTTACATTGCCATAAACGAGAGCATCTCATATAATTACCATCTCATATTTACAATAAAGAACCCTAAGCACATTACAACTCCACAGACCATAGTTACCATCTCATACAATTTGAGCTTGTTCGTTTGAAGTTTGATCAGATTCTCGCATCTTGTTCTATCCATCTTCAGGTTTGAAATCTCCAATAAATAAGCACCAGACTCTCTTTGACATATGCGTAGCTCTTCTTTAGTCTTGGCAATATCAGCATGGCATTCTTTCATCTCATTCTCAACACGTTCAATCAATTGATCATTCAGTATATCATTGTTCCTCAGGTTCAAGATCCCTTCTCTCAATAGAGGGAACAATTGAGATGCCACATTACACAATTGATCGTTAAACCATTCCCAAACATGACAACCACCATTCTAGATTTAAAATTTAAAAACATACTATCAGTCATAACAAATCAAACAAAATTTAAAACTTGAACATTGAAAAAAAATTACCTTATAATTTCGGCATCTGTAGAACCTCCTTTCGGAGTTTGCATCTGTCATTGATGTATAGTAGTCACATTCAGCTCTACAAGAACAAATTTTGACCCCGTACCTCTTTGCTACTTCATTCCATTTTCTAATACAACTCAAATTGTTGAAATCGAAATCAATTTGGTAGTTTACTCCAGACCTATTCTTGCTTGAACCTAAACTTGAGCTTGACGAGGTCATGTTGGGGTTGCTACTAATTTGAAGATCTGAATGAAAGGGGAGGAGGCAGGATCTCAAACCCTAATTTCAAGTTCGTCCCTAATTTGTGCGCGAGTGGGGAATGGAGAAGAGGATAATTTCAACGGCATTAACATCCACATCTTTACAATCATGCTGACTCAGCATCACTTATTTTGCCACGTGAGCCACTCACGTTTGATTTTTGGCCGCCAGCGAACAGGATGAGCCTTATTGACTAAAAGGCCGAGAATAAATACATTGTTGTTGCCAGATTTTTTAAATATATCAAACTGGCAAACATGGTCGAATAAAAATACCAATTTGGTAATTTAGTCTGGGATTAAGTATTATAGTGGTTTTGAATCCATAAAGACAATTGTGAGTAAATGATTGTTGATTAATGAAAGGAAAGTTTGAAAGTTTAGTGATAGTTTTAGATAGAGAAAATAGGACAAGTTTTCAAAACCTAACTTCTTTCCACGTTCAATCCAAAACAATACCCATTTTGAAGTTATTTGCAAAAACCGACCTGGTTTCAACGTTAGCGCTGAAACCAGGTCGATTTTTGTGAAAAAAAGTCTGAAACTTCACAGGAGTTGAACTTCCGTGAAGTTTAACAAAGCTGCTAAACTTCACGGGAGTTCAACTCCCGTGAAATTTCCGAAGTTTTTTTTCAAAAACAAACCTAGTTTCAGCGTCAATGCTAAAACCAGATTGGTTTTTAAAAATATTATTGAAATGAGTCTTTTTTGGGATTAAATGTGGAAAGAGGTTGATTTTAAAAATTTGTCCAGAGAAAATACATAGAAGAAGAAGGAATACATAGGACAAAGAGAAAACAAGAACCCTCGATGATCCACAGCGATAACAGAAAATTCTATTTGGGTTTTAGAAATAATATTTTGCCACATTATTTCACTTTGAAAATTAGCAGCCATCAATTTTGAAGATAATAATCATACATAAATCTATATGGATGTACAAATAAGCATTATGCTCTCTGACGACAGTTTTCCAATCAAGGGTGGCACTAGGGGCACACCTTCAACCACACCTCCAACCACACCCCCTCTCTCATTTGTTACAGTGCACCGGGCCCCACATGAGATTTTAAATTTTTAAAATCTCATGTGAAGCCTGGTGTACTGTAGCAAATAAGAGAGGAGGGTGGTTGGAGGTGTGGTTGGGGGTGTGCCCCTATCGTTTTCCTTCCATCAAAGCTTTTTCTTCTTTTTTTTAACAGAATTTTTTACCCTGTCAAACTCAACTTCATAGTTATTAAAATATAAGGACCAATCAGTCATCAAGTCGATAGTAAAGACATTTAAGGGCAGTAAATCTTCTCCTTTCTCCCCCTTCTCAATGAACCTTACCTTCTCCCAGCCCTTCTTTTTGTGCCACTGACTCTTGTTGAAACACAAGGAAAATGTACGGTCTACAATAAATTCAAAAAACTTTGAATTCTCCAAGTATCACTCATCTGCATGAAACCATAAACCAAGAGACAGCATTATTAAACTTTTAGCATAATTAATGTAATCTATTAAGCACCATATTTGGTAAAACTTAAGCATAATTCCATCGCATGTATCTCCGCTGCACCGGTTAAAACTGTGCATAGAAGAGTTAATGGAGTAATACAGAAGCACATACTTTTTTTATTGTTCCTCACTTGATACAGATTTTGAACTAGTCCAGGCACTCATTTCTCTCAAATCCCCTGTACATTGATACCTACGTTATATAGTTCCCGTCCACCTCCAAGCATATTAACACAAAGGTGAAAAAAGACGACAACAACAACAAAACAAAGAAAAAGGCGAAATCAAAACCCTTACGCTATTTACACAGCTCGACAGGCACCTCTTTAAACTCATTTACATTCACAAGTCTATACAAAACCAGCAATAACTTACAGTGTCATCTTTTCCTTCGTTTCAATTCCACCTGCACAGAACCACATTTGGGTTTCATTGAGCTTCCTTTTTACATTGCTAATACAATTACTCGTTCTTGTATAGTGAATAATTATGCTAAAACATATGTCCTGGTGAAGGGAATGTAAGCATATGGTTGAGAGCAAATGAAAGAGAAGTAAGTAGCTCTTGGTAGAAGTTAAAAGAACTGATGAAATATTGCAGGCACGCAAGGAAAAATAAATTTCTCCATTATCCAACACCGAGCATCTATTAATATTTGATAAGATCTTCCAACATTTCACTACTTTCTTTTTTGTTAGTTTCAACTTTCAACATTGTCTTATATTATCAAAACATATGATCATTTCCAAGTGAGAGTAGGCAATTTTTAGCTTGACTGACTCACAAGCTCAGCTCCTTAGATGAGCTTGTGAACAAATATATGACAAGATTTAACCAAGGCCCAGGTCTGTGGAACCGCCGTCCGCCCTGTTTCAACAGTTGGCCATGAATATCTTCCCTGATCATACAATGCAAATTATATTTGCTTCTATTAAAGATGTAGTTTGCGGATCACGCAAGATCAAGCTTAAATCTAAATCGGAAAAGTTTCAGGCAAATGCATCCAGTTCTATCAGATCTTAAACGATAAACTACAGACGATCACCTACCTGTGCACATATATGAACAAATTTTACCAGCAAAGCTGCATGTATATAGGAATAAAACAAAAGCTTACAATATTCCACTTAGAAAACATGTGTACCTTTAGTTCTGATTCTTCAGAGCCACCCTGAGAACCATCTCTCTTCTTTTCTTTGGCAGAAGAACAACTTTGACAGAAGAAATGTTCAACTTTCTTAGCTTCCTCAACTGTCATGTCTACGCAAGGTGGATGGTACCTGTGTAACAAAATGAAACATTTATTTTTCTTCTTCCTGAAGTTATTACTATTTGTAGCAAACCAAGTGTACTTTACGACTTCTGCTAAAACACATAAAAGCTAAAAAAACATAAAATCATACTTTACGATGGATGATAATATAAGAAAAGAACAAACAGGTTGATTAAAAATTTAATCAGTATGTAATCATCACCTATCTAAGCATCCCAATGGTAATAGACCGGATTTCTTTACATATTTACACCCGAGATCCTCCATGCCCCCCAAATCTTTGTTCCCAATTATCCTCCCAATCATATGAGGATTTACAATTCTAAGCCTCCAGTAGGTTGATGTTAGGTTTCAAACAATCTAAGGGTAAAACTGTTACACCCTTGTCTTCTTCCTCCTTGAGACGAAAACCAGAGAACATCCCAACAAAAATTTTAATGCTAGTTACTGCTAAATTTCTAACATATCAATGACTAGCTTCCCATCATACCTTCCCGATATCTATTTGGATCCAGCTCAGGGTCTGAAGCTGCTCCATATCAAGATCTCGATCCTCAGACACAGGCAGACATGATTGGATTCACGTAGCTTTTTTTATAGGATTAGGTCGTGGCATATTTGAATTTAATTAAACAGGGGTAAATTACACATTTAAAAAGTATTTCTCATCAACTTTCTAGGAAAAAAGAACACTACGATTTGATTCTTAACAGCAGAGAGACATAAGCTAATGATCTCCAATCTAATTTAGGAAGTAAAATGGAAAATACATTTATATAAACAGCAAGTTTACAAATACGGAAGATTTGGGGGGTAATATGTAAAAACATTCAAAATATGATATAGTGTTTTAGTCAATTAGAGAAGCATGATGGCTGAAAGATGAGTAACTGATATCGGAAGGAAACAAATCAAAGCAAGAGAAGACACAAGGACCTAAACAGTGTTGTAGACCTAGCAGCAAACCTAGTGCCTTCTAGCTTCTGCGACAAAATTGGATATCGCCTGTAGATGACTTATACTTGGTACCATATGACAATGCCATAAAATCTTTGGCCCATCTGTTATGATACTCCATAACTTAAACACTTTCTAATGTAATAATAGGTGATGTTATGTAATGTCAGAATATTAATAGAATACGTTAGTATATATTTATGCACACACACTTCTTTCTTATCTTATACCCTTTTGCAATCTTCAATATGTATTTTTTGTTATTATCTATCTCAATCTTATCATTAACAATTTGGGAATGCAAACACCTAGTCTGCATGTGAACCAAAAACAAAAGAAAAAAAAATAGCACTTACTTCTTAAAGATTTATATCGAGTTTACAAGATTCAATGTTATACAATAATTTAAAGAAACAATACTTATAAAGAGATGGGTACCATAATAAATTTCAGTTTCCATGTTCCAATATACCCTTTTTTTGGAAGGTTCATACAATCCCACAACTTGCAAGTAGATATTGCCCACAGCAGTTATTGGTTAATATCAGAGCACTGAGTTTGACCCGATGGCCCACATGGCATTTTACACATGAATGTCCAACATGACATCTTTTTACATCTAACACCATACGAAAATAATATTACCTACGCTGTTAGTGGTCAATGTGGAACAAGTCGTGTTTGACCCAACATATTACCCAGATACAATTTTTTGCATGTGAATCATGATAGATATGTTGCATGGGTACGAGTGCGGGCATCAGATACGGCAAATTTGTAGAAGGTAGCGTAGGGGGACACGGCTATATAACTACTTACACACACACACATATATTGAAATTAATAATTTATATGAGAACAAGGATGATAATTAAAACTCCTATAACAACTTTGTGTTTCTTTTATTATATGGATTATAAATTGGAAAATCACTTAGTTTTTTTATTTAAACATCCAAACAACCCTTCAAAATCATAATTTGGATATGAAGTATAGGATATATGTCCAAAAAGTGTATGACAAGTGTTTTAAATTAAAACACGTATTGTGTAATAGAGTACATGTCCGAATAAATGTATGCACGTATGCAAGGAGTGTCCAAGGAGTTTGGATACGGGTAAAGGTACGTGTCAAGTAGTCATACGGCTTTAGATTAGAAGTACCCAAGTAACATAGCATGTTAGCACTGTTATTCTTCATTTATGAGTTTATGAAGTAAGTTTATTATGCTTAGATCCATCAATCTTGCATTACTCGCTTCATTGCATGAACAAAATTTCTCTTCTAATACCTGCTTATTTAGACTAAACAATTAATTAGTTTCCAAGAAGGGGAGTCGTAAGGTCAGAGTTGTCGCCATGTGATGTGACATAGAGGTCATGGGTTCAAGTTGTGGAAATAGCCTCTTGCGAAAATGCAAGATGGGGCTACATAAAACATACCCAAAATGGTCCCACCCCATCCTGGAACTCGCACATAGTAGAAGCATCATGCACCTAGTTCCCTTTTTTTATAATTTATTAGTTTCCAATATTAGAAACTAATACTACTGATTGTGCCCTTTCCACACAAAAAAGGAAAAAAAGAAAAAAGCACAACCTAAAATATGTGCATTGGTTACAAAATAATTATCAACGGCTAAGATTCCCAGCTTCCCACCATATCATTAATCTTCTATTGCTTTGATCTCTACTATTAGACTTTTGAACAAATATCTAGTCATAAGATGATCAAACACCAAACTAAGACTTAAGATTGCCTTCTTAAATGCATCGACTGATGTATCCTTTTATGATGCTTGCCGCAAAACGATATGGTCTTATATACTTTACCACTTTTTGACCACTTTTGCTCTATATATCCCCAAACATGGCCAAGTATATCAGCCGATATGTTAGCCAATATATCCATTTTATATGGCTTGTCACAAAATAATATAGTTATGGAAAATTTCTTTAATGTTTTTAGCAAAACTATCAATCCTATGATGTTTTAAGCACAATCTTATAGGCTCTTTTCCCTTAGAAAGTTTCTAAGGTTTATTAGTGATCATAAATAAATATATTTTTTATATTTATGTATGTTTAGATTTCATTATGTTAAATAACATTTTAGGATATTATATTATATAC